AATTATTTCTTATGCAATGAAGATGTAAAATACCTTCGCGTTTATAAGGACTTTCATGGCTGTAATTTACGATGCAACTGCGAATTCACCGGAAGACTCTTAACGGAAAATCGTGCCCTTTCTTCTTGCCCGTTGAATTAATTGGTCGCTATAGTGAATTAACTCGTGCTTGATCAATCGATTAGAGTTACACAAGAGCATAAGATGCACAATGGCAGTGGAAAACGCACGGCCGCGTGAGAAAATTTATGCGTATTGCGCATGCGAACGGACAACAATATAATCGCAACTATATCGCCGTCTTCCATCTCTTCGCTGCTTTGACTTTCCACTGGCATCGGCTTTCTTAACAAATTTCCTACGAGCTAGATCGGGGTCGTACGAGGCGCGGTAACGATGATATAGCATATAGCAGGCTACGGGAAAACGTCACACACACGCAAAGAACAATTTAAATTACACTAACAGCATGCACATGCTCTGAGAAAAAAAAATACATAAAAGTTTTGCAATCTGTAAATCTACACGTACGTCGGTTTCGCGAAAAGATTGAATCTTCCTCAGATTCAGTACGTTGAATACAAATCTATTCTATAATGGAATGTAGTTTGGTATTCAGTTTGGAGAATTAATTTTCTCGACTTAAAGCGGATACGAACATTGTTGAGAAAGGAAGAGACAAGTAATTAAATTTTATAATTATTAATTATTTAAAATTATTTGGCATCGGAAAAGATAATCGATTCTAAAGAAAAAAACACTTGGGTAATACGCTCCTTGTTTGATCAATCGGAAATTCGAAGACGTCGGCTGTTCGATCGTTTTACGTGTGCACGAAATAAAGAAGGGGTATTATAGATATTCCTGATGGGTTTCCCAATACGCGACTAACGGGGAAATTTATATTCGATCGGTTCTACCGGATTAAAACACGTCGGTCAACGAACTCGTCTTTAAACGCGCTCGAGTCCTGCTCCGATAATAATTATTCAACGAACTCCTCGAAAGTTTAATAACACGCTCTAAGTTGATGACGCAGTAGAGACTCGCGGAATTCAGTCGTCATTGCGAGGCTTGACGGTCGAGGTGAAAGGTAAGAGAGAAAAGTTTAAATGGTTCCTGCTTTTTATAGTTAAGACGAGTCCAGATCACGCGGCAGGAAATTCCTTATATGGCGATCGTACGTCGTTCCGCTACTTCTAGAAGATGAAGATGATAAAAAAATTGTATCTCGACTTGTTCCGCGATCCAAAATGACGAAATGCCGAGGACCGTGGCGGTTTATATAACAAGGAAGCTTGTAACAAGGAAAGTTTCGTGCCTCTAATAGATATTTTGCGAGGAAACGACTAAAATTTGTAGCGGCACTATATAATCCAGCTATCTCTCTCCCTTTCTCTTTGCGTTATAACAACGCTAACGATATGAGACAAAATATATAAATTACTTAATTTTCTCTCCATACAAAGTCTGTTGCAGAAAGTGCAATAATTGTTCCGGGAACAATACCGTAACTATTTCCAAGAAACCGACGTATCGTACATATACGAAATGCGCGAACTGACGAAAGGAAATTCCTCGCATAAAATTGTGGAAAAGTACCGCAAGACAATTTACGCGTAATACTCATTTTGTGTAAATCCGTAGTGGCTAATTACTACGAGCAACTTGTACTTAGAGTTGTGCGCTCTCTTATCGTCGGTTACTTTGCCAATTTAATTTTTTACACGTATATGGAGAGCGCAACAAGAACACACGTCTCGACTCACAATCAGGTGAATAATAACTAATGTAATAAATAATAAGCCAATTACTTTTCCTCTGACAATTATCCGCTATGGACGTTTAATTGGCAAGATTGTGTATTGCGTATTGCAGTTATGTCCACGTGATGACATTTGACTTTTTTAATATTACTGTTTTTTATTCTCAAGAAGAGATTTTCAATAATTACTCTCTCTATAACGAGGATTGCGAATATTCTTTAAGTAAACTCACGGTAATTATACTATACATAGTTTTATTACTATACATGGTTTGTCCAACTTGAATTTAAGTCATTTTTTTAAACCTGAGAGATCGTCGGGAATGAAAATCCGATTTTGCACGAAGCAGTCGTACGAAATGTGTGCTGTGTGTATGTGTGCGGCATACACACATATACACGTGGCATGGATACGTGTTCCATGCATTCGTGTACTCGTCCGTGAGTGCACACGCGCCCACAAAGTGTTACGTTTGTTATATGGCGGTCGCGGTATGTGGGTCAGGAAGCCGGCATTACTAACAAGTGACTCGATTCGAGGTGACTCGTGAAGCGACACACACCGCTAGCTTTCGTCGCGCCGAATTTCCACCTTCTTACCAGATTTGGTAGAAGGTGGCCCCTCGCTACTCTTTGATCCAATACTTCTTGTACGATCGTGCCTCGTAAAGATGACCGCGGAGATAATGCCTTGCACTCAGTTCCGCGACTGGCACAAGGTAGCTCGAATCAGCTCCCTCGAGAATCGCACTGTTAATCCGATGCGATCCACATTGCAGCGTACACGCACCGGTCAAGTGTTGAATAATTCAGCAATATATAAAAACAGTATCTTTGTCAAGTACGTATATCTTTTAGCTACCGAATAAGATTGTACATAAATGTCTCTTTATTTAAAAAAAAATATACTTATATTTACATTTTTACACGAAAATAAATATTCAAAAATACTTGATGCACCTGCTCTGATGGAACATTCGTTCGAAACTTGGCTCTTTATGGAGACTTCAATGCGCGGTATTAAATGTGTGTCGCGCGCGCGCTCTTCCTCGCGCGCGTTGCGTTTTCTGCATCGAACACGCGGCCAACGTTTTGATCCTCGCTTTACTGTCGGTCGAGTATCCGCTCTACCGCAAAGTAGAATAAACAAGAGGTAAAGTAATCGAGAGCCTCGCGTGGCTGCCTCAATTCAGCGCGCCGTAAAGCAGCCGGCATGAATGCAACGCATGCGACCGCATGCGTCGGCGATACACGCGCGCGTAGACGACGCCGGTCGCATGCTCGCGCATTTAATTTCTAATTGAATAATCGATCGCGACCTCTCTTGATCGAGTGGCACGGAATGCGGCAGACAGCTATGCGTCGTTGTAAGAACCCGGTTACGTAGCTTTCGACTTATCCATTGCTATTCTCTCTCTGTTTATGAATAGATATAATATAAATATAAGATATTTTGCACTGCAAATATAAACTACCTAAAAGTTTCAAAAATTTGCTTGACCTTCTTTCTATAAAATTATTCGAAAATTATTATATAGCCTGCACGAATCATTATTTATTTAAGATAATTATAATTTATCCCTCCTGTTAACGTTGTCAAAAAAGATATCTTCGAATTAAGCAAGAATAATTATTTTATGTCGTATGGACACGTATAGAAAATATATAGGAAATGCAGTTTTTCTTTTGCAATTTTTCGAAGTCCTTAGCGACGATCGCTGGAGCAAAACTGTATCCCGACGTGAAACACTTTTAAAACGCACGTAGACTATTAAATTTCATGGTTGTGTTGATCAGCACGCACGGCGGTCTACCAAAGATAGAATTATGGACGCTCCTCATTGTTAGCATCACGTAGAAACTATAATTAACTCGGACGAGGAAGCGCTGAGGGTTAGGCAAGCGGGTTTAGGGTGACGCGGTTGGGTGACTGCCTTCTTAGTCCTTCCTGCTTAAACGCAAAGAATCTAGATTCTGCGAAGAAACAAGATTGCACGCTACACCTAAACAAAAACTATATATAATTATACTATATAATCAAATACTAATGCTAAAATTTGGAAAAATAATTTTTTCAGGATAACGTTAAAAATAAAAATAAATTTAAAAATATATAAGTAAATGCTTTATAGGGTAAACTCGGGTAAGATGGCCATAGAGAAAATATGGCCAACCTATGTTCTTTCAATCTAGCTCGTCATGAAACATCGAATGAACATGTGTTGGCCATCTTTCCTCTATGGCCAGTTTACCCTATAAATGTTAGAAACGTTTTGGTTGCGTATGGAGGTTGCGGATTCTGTTGCATTATATTTTACATGGAGCATCTTTCTTCCGCGATTTATTTAATTCGTCGCGTTACGAAAAAGAAGCGACTTAAGCACGTACAAATTACGGTCCCCACTTGTGCTTTTCGCAAAATTATACACATATTGTTCTCAATCGCGAGTACATTGCTACAAATTGCCGTAGAATTTCCACGAGTTTTCACAATTGCGTGCACTCTTGCAGGAACTCTACATACGTTATTTTCTCCGAGATACCTTGTTTCCATTTCTACGGTCCCATGTCGAGCGGCGCACTTCGCTCTGCAATTATATCCCGTATGACGATTGTATGCTGGTAATTATTAATTATCGTGCGGAATAGAAATGTCGAGAATTATGCGGATCTGGGAGATTTATATCCGTAATCCTTAGAATTAACTTTGAACGTAAAGCACCGGTTGTAACTTGGATTAGACGTTTTCGACATTTTACCGTAACGACAACACGTTACGCGATGCACGTAAGCTGCAGTAAGCTGTGCATTGCTAACATTTCGTTGTCGTTTGCTGCAAAGTTACTAGCACTTTCTTAAAATCTTTATTAACATTTTTATTAACATGATTGCAAATACATAGTCAAAAATATAATTGATTTAATACCGATATCTATACACCAATCATATCATATTCAATTGCTTCTTGAAAAAGGATTTTTAATTTATCGAATGCGAGCATTGGTCACATCAAAAATTCAGTAACAATATATAGACAAAAACGCGCGCGTTTATTTTTCTTTTTTTCCTATGTAACTATCGAGACGTTTTACCTGCTGCAACACGTTGCATTCTTTCAGGCTCCTTTTATCGGAAGGTCGACGAAAATTTCTTCTTTATAAAAAAAAGGACGTAGTAAATCTGACCATCCTAAGGGATCGTGTTCTCGCTGCTCGGTGACGCGTCGGCTCGCAGGTTGGCCTGAATACCGGAGGAGAGGCGCGTAAGTAGGAGGGGGGGGATGAACAGTCAGTCAGTCGCACAGGCCAGCCTCGTTCCTGATGGCAACCGGCACAGCGGTCGTTACCTGTTGAGGTGGTGGTAGCACGGAACGGCAGGTGGGGGAGCAGAATACCTGGATGACTTCCTGCCGGGGAACAGGCGCCTCAGTCCTCAGGCAAGAACGTTCGACGTCGGTTACAGCTTGTAACTCTACGAGAGACACCGTCCACGAGTTCTACCAGTGGACGCACGAGCACCATTGTCATTGCCACATTAACCCCGTTCGAAAATACCCGGGGGGGAAAAAACAAGTTCGCACGCGCGTTTACTCGATTTCCCCATTCGAACGGGCGAATATCGCGCGTTCAGTGCTCGACGAAAGAAAAGAGAAAAGAGGGTCGGTTTCACACCCCGAAATGACGTTTCCTCTGAGGTGCATTCGGTGAACTTCTCGAACGGAGTGCGCTCGTTGCGGACATACTGATTACTGTTCCGAATCGGAACAGCTTCCTCGACAGTTTTCCGGAACGAGAGAGGACGTTCAAGGCCGGAGTTCACGCGGAGGTTTGCGCTCGTGAACGAAATGGAACGCAGAACGATTTTCTTCCTTTTCATCACTCTGGCCACCAAAGGTGCGTAAATTCTTTTGTACGTTCATTCGGTAATCGGTTATCGATATAGACATGTGTTAATCATGAATTATATCAGTATTTGGAATAATGCTCAAAAATATTTCTCCTGATAATGAGGAAAGAAAGACAAAGAGGTTTTCAAAGATACTCAAATAAAAATATGCAGAAACTATATATTTCAGGTACCTATATTTAAACAATAAACTGTCATTTCATAAATAAATAATCTTAATCTAATCATGAATTCTTTCAACAATACATATGACAATACATAATTTAGCTAAAATGTGTAGCTAAATGGATAATTCTTAATAGATAGATTTTGCACAGGTAATATTATTTTTATTAAAAATATACATACATAAAACATACATATGCGACACATAATAATAATTAAAGTATATATATATGTGATTTAAATTAACACAAATATATTAATCTTTAATTTCCTAATTAAAAATAATAGCTTAACAGAAAAATAAATAATTTAAAACATCTTTTAACATAAAAATATATAACAAAATATTTTTTAAATATTCTTTTAAGTGATAATGGTTGTTTAATCAATGAATGGAGGATTATCTTGTTCCTGAAATTACATACGATCCTTAAAAGAATCATTAACTTTATATTTTATTATTATATGTACAAATGATTAAAAAAGATTTATATCTTGTATTGCATAAAATGAAACTCGATATAAAATCGGTCATTTTCATGATTGCCTTAATCGCACTTTTGTGTAACGCTTCGTTATGAATTTTCCATAAAACGTAATTGGATATCTTTTTAGAAATCTTTAATATAGCGGACAGGCGCTTCGTGCAAAGATGGATTAATCTCCCGTGGAAAATATAATGGCTCATTAACGCACTGGGGAGATTACAATAATAATCATTACTGCACCCTATTCACTTGTCGCTTTCTAAACGCCAAGATATTTAATGAGTCGACTGATTATGAGACAATGCTTACAGTTCGTAACGACAGTCCTCTACTTTACGTATCATTGGAACACTCTATTTTGCGGAACCGCCGGACGAAACTACCGCTAATCAAGCACGCCTATATATACGGCGACTAATCGAACGTTATAAATTAATTATACGATCTTCTAAATATTAGTGCCAACTTTCGAATTTTGTTCGCGTTATGTACGAGCAAATTATGACGTCGCATATTTTAGCTGGGGTTTTCATAAAATAAAGGAAACGGATTTTCCAAATTAGAAAAGTCTACTTACTTTTTAAAATAATAATTTTACTCGCATTGACGGTGAAAAAAAGTATTCGTAATACATGCAAATTTAATGTACTTAAATAAGTAATAATATATGATTGCATTTCTCAGAGATATGCGTAATAGATATAATTTTTCCATAATGACTAATAGATATCACATGTGCCATTCAATGCAGGGTCAAGATCATCCCACGCTCGCGTTATTGAACTTAACAACGGATTACCAAAGCACTCGTTTACATATGCAATCCGCTGACGAGAAGTATCTGAAAATAAGCGAAGAACTTACTCGTTAATTAGCGCTTGATGTACGTGATGCGTGCGGATTATAGTCTGTACGTATTTTCGTGAGAGGATACACACCGATTCTTTTTTATCTGATCTAAAATTTCACTCGGCATCAGCATCCGTGACGATAAACTGGATCTGCATTAAGGATCATTTAAATGATAACGCGACTGGTAACCGGTAAAGTGGCTCCAATTTAATTAGTACTGGATGATGATTAAAAATGTTTTTAGAAATAAACTAATCACTCCGTAGAAATTCTCTTAATACCGATTGCGCCGTCTCACGATTATCCTGAGCGATAGTCCGTTCGTAGATTCAATTTCTATCTCCGGTAGTCCGGTTAAGCGGGATAGTTCTTCAACGTCGTGTTAGCTGCAAGACGCCGCTACGCTCGCTCTGAAGAGGCACGTGTTCGTCGTTGCACGCCTAAACGCGCGTCTCGCAAATGAGACGTGGCGTACTCACGCAGCACGCATTCTCATCTCTATCGCGCACGCAGGTAATCGACTTTCCACGATCCTCGCTCGTTTTTTCTACGGCGTGGAAAGTGGCCGACGGAGCGGTTTTAACGCGGCAAATAACGTGAGAAGTTCGCGAAGATTCGTATAGCCCGATTATCACTCGGTCGCGGGACGCAGTCGTGAGGAAAGTCGTTTACCCCATTTACTCGCGGTACGCTGCCGCGAAAACAAGAATTTTTATAATAGCTCGAAGTGGTAATTTCGCAGGACGTACTCAGAGAACAGAAATTTATGTTATTCCATGCAATTTAACAGGAAATTACGTTAAGTGCTTTCATACCGGTTTTGATTTGCAGTAAGCTCGACAGTGGTAATTTTTTATAATTTCTCATTGATTGTGATTTGGCAATGGTGTGATCTTATAAGTTATGAGAATAGGAGAAGGTCCGGAATTGCCAAGCAAATTATCGAATTCAGATTTAGTGAGATATATTCAATTCATTCGATGCTAGCGGCTCGGTGACGAGAATTAGACTGACTCTTTGTCCGGCGCGAGTCGTTAAAATAAACTTAACAATAAGATATAGTCGTCATAATAATAACAATAGATTAACTTTAAATTTGCAGACCGCAATAGATCCGTTAGATCTAAGAAGTATAGCTCGCACGTTTGCCATTATGTCGTAAGTCCTTGTTTCTTTCGGTGCGTAGTTCCTGTGGTCCTCTTATAACGGGGCAATCGAAACGGGCAATCGAAATTAGACAAAAAAGATCCTCTTGTCGTTTCTTGATTTACATTTTACGTTAACACGTATGAGACCACTTCCGTAGGTTAATGACCGAGATTGTCTCGCGGTAAGGTGGTGGTTACTTGCATTTCCCACGTGTCGCCGTGCGCGTCAAACTCTTTTTTTTTTCTCCCGCACGCTCCTCAAACACTTCCTCTAACCGCACGTTCTCGACCAGCTGTCTCCTGCCAATTGCCGTTGAGTCATATCCAGTTATTGTCCTCTCGAGTACGTGCCGTTTCCTGTTGAAACTATAGAAGATCAATGCTGTCGTTATCGTTAAATTGATCGGTGTCAGATGTCAACTAGGACGCGAGCAGGTTTCATTAGTTTCATATCATTACTCATTGTTTTATCGAGTCAATCGCTCATTGTTGACAGATGTTCATCTTAATATTCATATTCTCGTTCCAACAAAATCTAAATTAATACCTAGGCAGAATAGATTTCCGCATACGCAGCATTTATTAAACAGTGATACATCTCTGTTTTATTCACGAGAAACCTGATGATGTTATAAACGATGACATCAACGATGTTGCCAACTGCATTCGAGTTGCTAAATAATATCATCAGCGCTAGACTTAGAAATTGCCCGCAAGTTTAGAAACGCAGTTTGATTTAAAAAGCAGATGCTTTTTAGAAAATTCTAATTTGCTTTAATGTAATGTTACGAGTAATTTATTTTATATCTAACTTTTATTGTATTTTATTGCCGAAACTTAAAAAAAATTGTTAATAATATTATTATATATAAAATAAACATATTATTATATATGATAAAAAAATATATAGCGTTTTTTAATTAAAGTAATTATAATTATCGGTGTGATCTGCTGAAAACAATTGATAGCAGCGCTGACAAGTGTTAAATATATTCCTATTAGGTATTATATTGAAATATCTCAATTATTATCGCTTTTTAACCATTGTTCATCGTCTAAATATCACTTACAATTAGAAACAGTATAATCAGCATTTGAGCTCTCAGAATTATCGACAGAATTGTCGGTTCTCGTGACAAGTGCATGCACTTCCGTCGTATTATGGAACTAATCGCAGCTTCGCGCATGTATGGCTCACACGTATCGCACCTTGAAAACAAAAGGCCGGTGCGTTTAATTAGCTCGGCTCAGTACCCAATTTCCCACAATTCCGTGAAGTAACGGGAGTACTCGGCGAGCTGGCAAGAAAAAGAAGGCGAGTCCGTCGTGTACCTTTTCTCTCCTACTTATGCCCTGATTATCTACTTTTCTTGCGGCGTGGGCGAAACCCCGAACATTGAAAATCACGTGCTGAACTACATACGAACAAAAGCCGATGAGTGCAAGTCGGTAGAATCTGTGAGAAATGAAACTTAGTCGCGGTAAAAAGAAAAGTATTTATATGGAGTCATATATTTACACGGAAAGAGAAACTCCGTGATCATTAATTAATAATTATATAAATGCAAATCGTATATGGTTTGACAATCTAAATTCAATATAATGAATTTTGTGGAAAGGTCATGGGCCAAACGAGCGATAAGGATGTTACCTTATCAAATATAATATAATTTATTATCTCTTAATAAAGAAAATTACTGGAATATTTCAAACTACACAAAGTTTTTATCAGTCATAAAATAAGTAAATCAATAATAATAGCGGAAAAAGAGTTAGGATAATGACAGGTGAAATATAATAAATATAAAAATAAAGTAATATATTATAACTAAATAAAATATTAAAAGTTAAGTAAAAGTAAAAATAAAACTAAATAAAAATATAAAAATATAAACGGACTACACGAATCACAATAATGAATTTTATGTATCTTATAATACGAGACATCTTGAATTTGTAATTGTATAAGTTGACATAAAATTATTAAATACAAATATACAATATTAAATATAAAAAACACAACAGCTAAATAATTTCGAAAAGATTCTTAATAAAAAATTTTAACATACAGTATTATTCGTAATGGCATAAAACTGATTTTTGTCATCAATAATTAGCATCTAATTCTATGTTATTTAATTTTTACATAATTGAATTTTTATTTTAAGAGTTACATCAAAAGAATAATTTACACGGTATTTACCCAAATTTATGCAGTAATTTATGTATTTACACGGTATTTAGATTCAAATATGATCCATAATGACATGAGCATTAAAAATGTGTTTCTACCTCATGTACTTTGAAATGATTATAATCGCGAGCTATCGTTCT